GCCCAAATCTCACCATCACACAATATAGTCATGTAACTAACCTGTGCATAAACCCTCTGAAGTTGAAATTTAAAAAATAAATATAAATAAAAGGAAATCTGTGCTTGATAGGTAGATTTGGGGGAAATCCCGCAGATGCATAAAAACCAATGTGTATAATAATTTTTATTTAATATAATTACAGGACTTTAAAACTTGTTGAGATATGAAACTATCACAGACCATAATTTATTTATTCAACAAATATTTCTCAAAGGGATCTTGGTTGAGTTTCAGGGAGGGGAGAGTAGAGGTCTAAGGAGTTGAGCCCAGAGAGGAGAGCACGAGTTGGATTAGGCAAGGCTTTGGAGGAGTTGGAATATTTTTCCAAGAGCAATCAATAGGAAGTCACCAGAAAGTCATTTGAGAAGGGAAGTGACAATGATAGGATTTATGTTTCAAAAGTGGAGTGAATGTTCTATGGAAAATGGATGCGGGAGGCAGAGCGGAAGCAGGGAGAAGAGGTAGAAGGCCATGGCATGGCAGTGGGCTAACAAGGAATGACAGGTGTGTAGACGAGAATAGTGATGACAGAGAGAGGAAACACAGCATGTTGTGTTCCATTCAGCTGATGGGTGCTCACCTAGCCTCTTCTCTGCCTGTCCTGGGATCCAAACTCTGGGCTTGCCCTCCGCCCCTCCTCCCGCCTCAAGAGGGCAGTGAGGGTTGCTCAGGCCCCTGAATTTAAGTGCCTTCTGGTTCCTCAGTGGCCCCAACTCCCTGCAGCCCAGGCTGTTCAGCTTGGCTCCCAAGGAGGTCTTTTTCTCCAGTGAGTGGGTTTGAAGAATGACGAAGCTGCTCACTAATCTGATCCTGCTTCTGCTTACCGAGGAGGGGACTTGGCAGGGGGTTGCTCTGGTGTGCTTGTCCTGCTTGTGTTAACTGCAGGCCCCAACCCAGAGAAAGGCTAGGGGATTACAGTTCCTGGGGCTCCCTGCCCCCTCCTCGCCCCAAAATAGCTAAAGGAAAGGCCGGCACTTTTTTCTTTCACAAGGAGACACACTTCTGTATTCACTTTAGGGAGATAATATATTTTAAACCTGCCGTTTCTGGTGATAACAGGAATGCAATCCTATTAGAGAAAATTGGAAAGACCAAGAAGGAAGGCTAACCAGTATTCATAATACTACCCTTCTGTCTTGCATGTTTCTCTAGTCATATGTACTAATTTTAAACAGTCACGACCATATACACTGAAAATAGTTATGTGTATCATGCTTTTTCCACTTTATGCTTGAAGCTTTTCCCGGTGTCATTAAAAATGTCTCCATAAACAATTTTAATATCTGCCAAGTAGCCTTTCAAAAAAACCATATTTTACTTAACCTTTCTCCATTTGTTGGACATTTTGGTTGCTTGTAACTTTTTAGCATTATAAAAAGGGCTGTGACAAGCACCTTTGTGTTTATGAATCTTTGCCTGCACTTTGGATGCATACCCTGCCCCCCCATCTCTAGTAGGGGGATTAATGAGGAAAGTTGCATAGTCAGAGGATAGGAACGCAAATTTCAAAGTAGAGTAATTCCCACCCAAAAGTAGCTCTCCTCCTGTCGTAGAAGCGAAAACATGGCCTAGTCCTTTTCCTTCTGTAAGGACTTGATACTTCCCATATACTTCTTCGTTAGTCAGGTATTGGCTACTAGGTGTCTCTATGGCAGGAACTACCTCTTTCTCTAGAGACCTCGCTGGATTATGGGCTTTAGAGGCAGCTGGGGTTGTGATTTCACTGGTTTCTTTCTAGGTTTTGTGGCCAGTGGAGCAGAGAGAGCCCTCCCAGGCCTGGGAGTCTGGTTCCAGTGCTCCATGGTAGAACCAGCTAGGCAACCTTGAGATCCGTCATTTCCCCTTTCCGGGTCAGTTTCTTCGTATGTAATACAAGCAAGAGGAGGCAGAAGGAGTTGGGTTTGACCAGATTCGTTATCGTTGTAATTTAAGCAAAAGAACCCTTATTTCAAATTAAACCTTACCAGATTCCCATTCTATAAAATAGATTAAGGTACTGTTGCCCTGGTGGACTGGTGGAAGTATGTGGAAGCGTGGGGGAGGGGCTCCAGTTTGAAAACTCTGGCCTAGAAGATGGAAGTTTCAGTTCAGTTCAGTTCTCTTCCCTATTGCTGAAGCTAAAACAAAAAAACAAAACAAAACAAAAAAAAAACTTTCGTCTATATTTAAATCCTCCAAATGTGCTGATTGATGAAATCTTTTCTTTTAAAGGCAATTTGGAAATCAGACAAAGTGGAGCACAAAGCTCTGGATGTTTAGAGAGAGAGTGAGCAGTATGTGAGACACGCTGAAAGGGTGACCCTGGCACTTCTAAGGAGGCAGCAGCACAATGGACTCTTCGAAAGAAGCAGTGTCAGAGTTTATTCCCTCATGGCACCACCCCCCTCAGTGGGGGGAATTGCTTGTTTTTACCCTCCCTTTCTTGGAGTCATTTCAGACCAAACTTCAGTCCACAATTCCTAGCAACTGAAAACGCAGAGTAACTTGGGCTATTGAAGGCCAAACACTGTGGAAAATGTGATAGAGGATAGATATGACAAGAGAGTTTCTTTCCGCTGTTGGGATTTTGGAGCACCGGAGTTGGGGAACCGGGACACGGGCGGGGGTAAAGGTGAGTGTCACAGCCCAGGCAGCTTGTGCTTTGCTCTGATCACATCAGTAAAGGTTGAAGCACCAAACGTCCAGGAGGGGTCCTGAAAGTCCGTGGCCCTGGAATGGGGAGAAGAGGGAGCGGTACGGAGGCCGAGGCCGAGCCCCATCCTGAGCCCGGACGCAGCAGGCCCGGGAGGAGCACTGCGCGGAGGGCAAAGCGTCTGGGTCTGTAAATCAACGCCAGCCCTCTTTCACCCCATGCTTCACATTGGGGGATGGGGTGGGGGGGTGGGGATGGCAGCGCAAACGTCTTCGGGGGAGGGGGTGGCGCTGCCTTCCCAGGGAGACTCGACCTTTCTTGGAGAGGCGGGGTTGGTTTAGTCTCCGGGATCCGCAGTGATGTGTAAAAAGCGGGCACGACCCCCGAAGCCTCAGAAAGCACCCGCCCCTCCCCCTGAGGCCCGCCCCGGCCCGCAGGTGAATGGCTGGCCGGCACAAAAAAAGCCGGCTGGAAATGTGGAATTCGGACCAATTTACGGGAGATTCTGTCGCCTAGGGTCCCAGCAGACCTCAAGCAAAGAAACCTGTGGTCAGTAGTGGATGAGGATAAAAACAGTGCACCAGGCCAAGCTTATTGGAAAGGCCGAGTTTAGTTATTCTGGATAGCGAGGTAACAGGATTAAAGGGATTAAGGAAATCACCTCAAACAGCTGAGGAGGGGGTAAAAAAACACTGGTTCTATTTGTTTTCTTCCTAGGCCCCAAACAGATACACTGGGGCCGTGTGGTCCGGCGCGAAACGAAGGGCCCTTCGGGGGGCATAGGGGAAATGACCAAGGGTCAGAGGCTGGAGGAAAGTGTGTGTGGGGGGGGGGGGGGGAGGTTAGAAAGTGGGATCGAGACTTCGGATGAGAGGTTAGAGCTTCTTTTAAAAAACAAGTAGACTAAATTGACAAATTAAAAGCAAAAAGCCCTGGGAAGAGTTTTAGAGGTCTTTGAAAATCTAGGGAGTACTTTTTAAAACCAAGCCTTCCAGGGTCGAATGCTGATGCCGCCGCTTCAGCTACCACTGTTGAAATGTATTTGTTTCCTGCTGGGAATGCCTGTAACCATTTATTTTTAATAGGATCATTGAGATTTCCGAAAGGTTTTCGTTTTGTAAATATTTCAGCTCTGCTCAAATGTCTTCCCGCCCCAGTGCACAAAGGTAAAAGTGCCCCTTTTTTGGTCGGTTTCAGCGGCCGCTGCCGTCGCCGCCCAGCCCGGCGTGGCTGTGGCAGCAGACACTCCTTCAACAGACGCTCCCAACGATCAACAAGTGCGCGGTCGCAGGCTGTGCGTCAAGGCTACTGTATGGACGCTCCCAGGAAGACAAACCACTCTCTCCTCGGAGTTTCAGTTGAGACTCTTGGGAGCTGGTATATTTGGGATCACCAGCAGCCACAAGGAAACCATTTCAGATCATGCTTGCCTGCTCCCAGGTCCCACCCGGCCCTCAGGGTGGGACCTCGGTTATGAAACCGAGTGTAGGTCCCCTCCCTAACCCGCACTTAAAGTTTCAGGACCGCAAAATTATCAGGACTCCATCATGTTGGTTATAAAATTTATTGATCTCTCATTTAGGAATTAAGAGTAAAACCTTGAAAAACCTGAAACAAAAGAGCCCCTTCCCCACTACCCAAACAAAATTCGAACACATTAGCGCGACGAAATATCAAACAGATCACGGCAGAAATCACCAACTCAACAGCTTAAATGCAGACTGGACAGAGGCTGTCCCGTGGCCAGGGGCGGCGAGGCGGGAGACACACGCACACCTGGCTATAAATTAACATTGGCTTTTGCTGCTGCGCCAACTGGCGCGGTCAGCGCCCCCCCCCCCAAAAAAAAAAAAAAAAAAAAACCACGAGGAAAACAGATGCAACGTGACTGGGGGCGGGGGCGTTGCATCTCAAAACAGCCTCACCCGAGAGTACGTTGCTCCCATCCACTCACTCCTCAGCTAACTGCAAACTAACAAGACAACATTTTCAAATGCAACAGAAGAACCCAGGAACTCAGGAGGAGGAGGAGGAGGAAGGGGGGGGCTGCTTTTTCTTTGCAAACATCACAGCGATTCCCAGCCTACAAAGGGGAAAGGAGGGGCAGCGGCAGGGGCAGGCAAGGTCTCTAGAAGTCCCATTTCCGCTGCGCCTGACTTCTGTTTGCTTTTGTACAAAACTCGACAGCTACACCAAAACTTTCTGTCCTCCCCATCATCGGTACAAGGCAACAGTCCCAGGCAAGCAAAGCTACACAAGGCGTCCCAACTTGGGGGTGCGGGGCGGGGTGGGGGCGAGGGTCGGCGAGACAGGCGCAAGCCGGCGCTCAGATGTGGGTAAGCGGCACCGTTCCGTTGACGGCAGTCCCGGCGCCCTGGTAGTGCTGGTGGACGCCGTGAAGGCGGCCGCCTGGCA